CAAAATCTACTTTTCAGCTGATCTGAGAACAGCTATTAAAACATCCTTCCAGCTGAAAACAGGAAATTATAAGTACTAGGTTCCATTCAAATATAATTTCACTTATCAGGAGAATGCAGTGAAAGTGGAGTAGATTATTAGAGCAGATCAACAGATTATTGCAAACACATCATCACAGAAAGGGTTTATGCAGATGGCTCAGCTCTGGGTACTGACAGGTCTCTGTGACAGCAGCAGGGCCACCATGGGCTGGCTTTTTAGGGGAAGGCCCAGGACTTCTTCTTTATTAACAGTTGCTCAGCACAGCCAGAAATTAAACCACTGCACAACTGAACACCCTAGGCTGAGCCCAGCTACTCCCTGCTGACTCAGGATAAGGTACCAGTCACCCTAAACATTCCCCACTCTTCTTCAACCACTGCCACAAAACAGCACCGTCCTGTTGGTATGATTCTGTACAGCTTCAGAAGGAATTAAAATCCAGTTCTTTTTTCACTGCTGTGAAAGCAGGTCTGGCCACCTTAACTTTTTACTGTAAACAAGAGCCAGTGGCACCATCACACCCCTCACTTTTAGTCTGGGCTAAAAGCTCTTAAGAGCTACTCATGGTACTGCAAAGTAGAGTGCTTGATCCTTTTTTTTATAAATTCACATACAAGTTTTTCTCTTTTACTACATGATGCTGTCAGGCAACCATGGCACAAGATCCTCCACTGGTAATTACCCAACAAACACGTCCATCTTGCTCAAAATTTGGCTCTGAAAGCTCCAGGACTCGTGCTCAGAGGCATTTGCAGAGTAAACACTTTGTGAAGCCTTATGTTACCTCTCATGAAACAAGAGCATCCAAAGAGCAGCGGGCACACAGCAGAAAATACACAGAAAATAAAGCAGAAAATAAAGCTGGTTAGGAGTAGAAGAAGAACTTAGAAAGCCACAAGTGCCTTAAAAACTAAATGTAGCGCTGGCCCTAAATCAAGAAAAATATGCAGAGGTGAAGCCAGAGAAGTGGCTTTAATTTTTTTTTATTTAATTTAAGGCAACTGGTTCTCCCTCTTTGTCTCTGATGTGGACCCTAAGGGCTGCCTTTTGCACACAAGTCAAAAACCCACTTTCCTTACATATTTTTTCAAGTGTTATAAAATGATTTGTGAAAACAAGATTCACTGGATTTTTTCCCATGGCATTTCCTGAAAGTAAAACCCACTGTCTGCCGAGCACGCTCCGGGGTGCTCCTGGAAATGGGAAACGAGGGGGACAACATAAATAAGGACCCAGGCACAGCCCAGGTAACCACCCCCAAGATGTCTGTGGTTCTGCCAGATGCTTCCAGAAGTGAGAGCAGGTGATGAGCCCCCACTGCCTGCTCTCTTGCACCCACCAAACCTGCAGGACCCCACACAGAACGGCCTCCTCTTTGACCTCTGGGTCCAGCCTTGGATGGGGCAAACTCTTCCTGGACCAGTTCTGGCCAGGACAGGGTAATTTCTGCAGCAGCCAGGAGAGGCATGGCCAGGACCCTGGGGTTGTTCTATACTACCTCATGTCGCTGCCTGGGGTGGGGAGGATGGTGAGGGTGCGGTGTGGGGGGTCGGGGTTTCGCCGCTTTCTGTGCGTTGAACACTCCTGTGTGAATCCTTCACCTTTCCTGTCATTAATTTGTTGCTGTGACTGTTTGTTTTCATACTTTACTGCTGTTTCCAGTAAGTTGTTCTTATCTTAACCCCTGATCTTCACCTTTCTGCCTCCAATTCTCTCTCCAGCCCATCACAGGGGAGGGGGAGTGAGTGAGTTCGGGAGTGTTTCAGTGGGAACACCATTCCCAAACCCCAACAACCAGATTAGCTGTAAAGGTCACAGAAGCATTTGGGAAGTGTAGAGCTATTTGCAAACTGATGAAAAAAATGGTCACTTGTATCCAAACCTCACAAAAGGTTTTTTCCCAGAGAGCCTGGCTGGCAGTGACTACACACCTTACCCCTGGTTACCTGTGACAGCCCAAGGCAGAGTCATACCCGTCTGGAGGCACCTCCCAGGCTCACACAGCAGGCATGAGCATGCACTTCCCAACTCATAAAACCCTCAGCTTTGCTCTGCACACTCCTTGAGCTTCTAACCCCAAGTATTTCACGGCTGGCTTGTGATTCTCCTCACATGAATGATGCTGCTTACAATTCCTCTGCTCAAAACCAATCCAAGCAAGAAAGGACACGGATGACACTTTCCAGAGGTAATTTTTTTGCATTATATCAATAAAATAATAGGTATTTGAGGCTCCTACTAAAGTAAAACCTGAACAAGACTTCTGGAATGCCTTGGTTGAGGTACAGTTTGTATTTTCACTAATAACATAATTTTTCTGACAGAATTCAAAGCCACCAGGAATCTCATGGCACTGAGAGCTTTCTCAAGTGTCTCCCATTATCCTTGCTGTTTGCACCCAGAGGAAAG